AGAGGCATTTGAAATATGATGTGGAGACTTCTAGAGAATCCCATGGGCTATGTTAACAATTTTTGTCTTTATCATAAAAGCAATGGGTAATTGTTGAAGACTTTTTCCCAGGCAGGTGACACAATCAGGTATTTTCTTTGGAAACATCACTCTGGCTCCAATATAGGGAATGAATTAGAGGCGGACAACAGAGTTGCCAGAATAAAATACAGATGCCTAGTTACATTCAAATTTTGGATATATAATGAATACTTGTTTAGTATAAATGTGTCCCAATATACTATACAATACTTATATTAAAAATTATTGTTGTCCAGCTGGTGTGGCTCAGTGGTGAGTGTTGACCTATGAACCAGGAGGCCATGGTTGGAGTACATGCCTGGGTTGTGAGCTTGGTCCTCAGTGTGGGGGCATGTAGGAGGCAGATGATCAATGATTCTCTCCTATCATTGATGTTTCTATCTCTCTCTCCCTTCCCCTTCCTCTCTGAAATCAATAAAAATATATAAAAAAATTGTTTTCTTATCCTAATATATAAAAAACCAGGGGCCGTCATGACCGAAACAACTGAATGGACAACCGAACAGCAGGCTGCATGGGGTGACCAGGCTGGCAGGGGGGCCAGTAAAGGGTGACCAGGCAGGTGGGGGGGGCAGTTAGGGGCGACTAGGCCAGTGGGGGGGTCAGTTGGGGGCAACCAGGTCGGCAGAGGGGCAGTTAAGGGTGATCAGACTGGCAGGCAGGTGAGCAGTTAGGAGCCAGCAGTCCTGGATTGTGAGAGGGATGTCTGACTGCTGGTTTAGACCCGATCCCTGAGATTGGGCCTAAACCGGCAGTCAGATATCACCCAAGGGGTCCCAGATTGGAGAGGTGCAGGCTGGGCTGAGGGGGCCTCTAGTATAAGTATAATTTTAAAGTGTAAGTATGTCCTAAATATAGCTTGGGTTATACTTATACTAAAAAATTATTTCTTGTTTATTTGAAATTCAAATTTAAGTGGACATCTTGTATTTAAAAAAATATTTTTATTGATTTCAGAGAGGAAGGGAGAGGGAGAGAGTGATAGAAACATCACTGATGAGAGAGAATCATCAATCGGCTGCCTCCTGTATGCCCCACACTGGGAACTGAGCCTGCAACTTGGGCATATGCCCCAACCAGAAATCAAACCATGACCTCCTGGTTCATAAGTCAATGCTCAACCACTGAGTCACACCCAGCCTGGCTGGACATCTTGTATTTTCATTTGTTAGATCTAACAACTCTAAGCAAGAGAAGATATGGGGATACCAGTTCTTGCTGTAGTTGAAGGCTCTTTAGACTAGGAAAGTAGAGGTGGAAATAGAGAGAAGTGGACAAAGAAGAAATACCCTTGGTGAGTCCAAGTCTGTTATTCCAAGGCCATCTGGAAGACAGAGTCTATCAGCTTCCCTCCTGCTCTGAAACCTTAATTTCCATACACACGCCATTTAAAGGCATGTGGTTATGGGTATGATTAACACATCATGGCAGTCTCAGTGCAGGCCTGTGCTGGGTCAGAACCTGTCCTAAATGTCCTATGTGATGTGTGCTGAAGCAGTGTGAGGAGGTCATCTTTCTGATTTTTTTTTCCACAATAACTCATGTTTTAGCAAATGAAGCAGGGAGAGTAAAACAGTTAAAAAACAGGCTTTGCTAGGGGTTCAAATGCTCCAGCAATTATTATCTGGCTCATACTATCTTTGACTGAGATACTTAACTCCTCTTGGCTTTGCAGCGTAACTTTCAAATTAATGTTAAAGTATATCAAGAGCCAGGCACACAAGAGAAGCTTACTAAATGGTATGTGCTTCTAGAAATAAAACAATCCCTTGTTTCATAAATCTGGCTCATCCTTCTTCCTACACAACTTCACTCTGGTTTTGTCATTGTTCAGACCCTTCACTGACTTCCCATTGCCTTGTGCAACAGAGTCTTAACCTGCTGTTCTCTGATGGGCACTGTCACTATGTCCCCATCAGAACCTCATGCTCCAAAGAAACTAGGGCATTTAACCCTTCTTAAACCCAACTTGAACTTTCCTCCCTTTTTTTTTTTTTTTGCGTGGAATATCTGCCTATATCTGTTCAAGCCTTATTAATGAAAAGTGTTTATAAGGCCATGTTAATAGAAATATGGACAAGTAAGCTAAAGTATGTGAAGAAAATAAAATATATGCCCATCACTAGGGAAATGACTAAACAAATTAGGATTCATGTCTACTGTGTAATCCTACCTAATAAAGAGGGAATATGCTAATTGACCCTAACACTGTCACAAAGATGGTGGCGCCCACAGCCAATAAGGAAGGAATATGCTAATTGACTGCTCTGCCCTCAAATATGGCAGCACCCACAGCCAATAAGGAGGAAATATGCTAATTGACTGCCCCTCCCTCAAAGATGGCAGCACCCACAGCCACCAGATGGCTGGCAGGGGAGGGCAGTTGTGGGCGATCAGGTCAGCAGGGGAGAACAGTTAGGGGCGACCAGACCAGCAGGGGAGGGCAGTTAGGGGCAACTAGGCCTGCAGGGGAAGGCAGTTAGGAGCAACCAGGCTGGCAGGGGAGGGTAGTTGGGGGGAACCAGGCCTGCAGGGGAGGGCAGTTGGGGGCAACTAGGCCTGCAGGGGAAGGCAGTTAGGAGCAACCAGGCTGGCAGGGGAGGGCAGTTAGGGGTGACCGGGCCTGCAGGGGAGGGCAGTTGGGGGAAATCAGGGCTGCAGGGGAGGGCAGTTAGGGGCAACTAGGCCTGCAGGGGAAGGCAGTTAGGAGCAACCAGGCTGGCAGGGGAGGGTAGTT